ACCGTGAAATCGGCCTGGCCAAATCGGATCGACAGTGCTATGCCCCTGACCCTTCGGCGAGAAAGTGGGCGGGTTCTGGCGCTGACCGCGCGCAGGCAAGAACGCGGCGCAGGTGGGAGGGCGCCGGCATTGGGGGTGTAACCGCTCGCAAAGAAAATGCGCTGCAGGGGCAAACCGCGCTACGCGGCAATCTCATGGCGGTCTTTGCCTGGTTGCCTACGTCCCCAGATGACGAGCTACCTGTGCCGCAGAATCCTTACAGGCTGCAGAAGACAAGAAGATTGTCTTCCATGTGGAACGAGTCCCCGCGCGCGCACCTCATGACACTGGCAATGGGCGCGGCGGCCGCGCATCGGCCGGCTGGTGCTGAGTGGGGCAGGCCATACCATAGAGCCCTTTGACTGGAACTAAGACCATCCAGCTGAACGCCGCTGCGATGAGCCCGTCGTAGGATAGCCCGCGCGGCGCGCAACGCTCCCGAGGGCCAAGGAAGTCGAACTGCCCAGTCAATTCAGAGCTGCCATGAAAAGAAGACATAGAGGATCGCTGACCGCAGGCGGAATTCCCGAGGGCTCAAATACCGAAAGAACGTGGGGCGAGGGCACGGGCCCCTTGACTGCGTCGGAGCCGGCGCCTCCTCTCGGGGGCCATCCGTCAAAGGGGCAAAGGGGCCGAACTCTACGCGGCTCGAGGGCCGCACTGCGGCCGCGAGAATGTCGGATGACGCCGGGGGCAAGGGCAAGGAGAGCGAAAGCGACGGCGAGGGAACCAGGAGGCCCAGCAGTCGCGCGCCAGATGATCAGCAAGAATCCAGGCGACGCCGAGCTGAGAACCCGACCCGGCGGGGCGCGTCCTACAGCGCGGGGGCTGCCTCTTCAAGTTCCGCGCCAGCCGCGAGACCGCCCGCGGCCAGAGGCTTCCGGCTGGGCGCGCCCTGGCGCATTGAGGCGGGCACCGCGCGGCGCCGCGCGGAGGGTGCCCACCGGCGGCGCGCGTGCGCCGACACGTGGCAGCACGATGCGGATTCTTCTCCTCCGTGACAGGGAAGTGGCAGTAACTGGCGGTCGTCTTGGTGCTGGGGCTCAGGCAACTGGCACGGCGACGACAGCTGCGGCCGCGACGACCACAGTTGGAGGTGAGAGGGCGAGAGCGAGGAGGGACACGCGGCTATGCCGCCGGTACCTCCTCGAGATGAGCAATCGCGGTTCAAGTGCGTCCACAAGTGATCAGAGCCCCGAATCATCAGGGGTAACTCGGGCCAGGGATAACTCGGGTTCCTTTTTCGGGGATCCAAACCCGACTTACCCCGGGCCCGAGTTACCCCGGATAACTCGGGCGTCCAGAGCCCCGAATCATCAGGGGTAACTCGGGTCAGGGCTAACTCGGGTTCCTTTTTCGGGAATCCAAACCCGAGTTACCCCGGGCCCGAGTTACCCCGGATAACTCGGGCGCCCAAAGTGATGGAGTGAGCCGCCTGGAACTGAGGTGCCATGCGCTGAGTGCCCCAGAGCGCTGTGAGCCAGGTAGCGGGAGCGCTGCCTGCAGGGCGCGGCGCAACGGCCCGCTTTATGCACAAATTCGGGGCGTTGACAAATCGTCGACGTCCACCCGCGCGACTGGAGCTCGCCGGGAAGGCCGCGGGGGGAGCTGACCCCTGCGATGCCTCAGCGTCATTAGCGCGTACATGCTCGCAGCCGTCTTGGTTGCGATCAGGAAAAAGGGGCGAGCGCCCGCCCGTCCGCCGGCCGGCCTTCTCTCTTAGTATCCCGACTACAGCACAACTTACCAGCACATTATCACATTTCTCGCCATGGCTACAATAAGTACATCACCAATTCAGCGCACTAAAACCTGAGCATGATATTGTTACAGGAAGAACGAGCGGAAGGACACAGTTATGAGCAAAAACAAGTGTTGCCAATCAGTTGAGCTACGCAAGCTCCTATCCCCACAGAGAGCTGGCAAAATACTGGTGAGTCCGCTCAAAAGCGTTCCAGAACGCTCTCGCTCATGATGGGCGTTCCCGATCGCTCTGGGAAGGCCGCGGCGCCCGAGACATCCTCCAGATCCGCCGGATTTCAGAGATTCTTGATTTAATCTTCGTCCGATTAGATCCTCGTCCTGGCTTGGTCTTAGATGGAGGGCGGAGATGGCCCCGGTCGGTTGCGAGGCGGCCGGCGTGACGAAAGCCGGGCCCTGGCGGGTCTTCTTTGCCGCCTTGGCCACTTCGGTCGGCTCGTGGCACCGGCGCGCCGCTCGTGTTCAAGGCGGCCCCAGGCCCCCCCCGAGATGGTAGTGTAGTGTACCTGCCGTGTTCGTCGGGGTTCCGAGTCGTCCAGGCCGGGGGCGTTCCGAGGTAGTTGCAGGTTCGCGCTTCGGGGACCGAAGCCAGAGTTAGCCCGGACCGCAGCTATCCCAGATATTTCGGGCATCAAACCCTCCCAAAACGTCGGGGCTGGGGGCGGTAAGTGGTAGCTACGGGTTCGTGCCTCGGTGACATAACCAGGGTTATTCCGGATCGCAGTTATCCCGGATAACTCAGGCGTCCAAGCTCGTGCTCCCCCTCCATTAGGGAGGGTTCCCTTTGATTCCTCCGATTCGATTCCCTTTGGGTGACTTCGATTCCGATCCGGTTAGGCTTGCGATCCCGATTTGGATTCATATTTTTCAGCGGAGGCTCTACCAGCCTCCCGATTTCTGCCGAGTCGACGCCTCCCGATTTGGCTGCCTCTTTCCGCCGATCCGATTCATTTCGATCGCCGATCCGGCATGTCGATTCGATTTTGTATTCGCATGACTTCTTCTCCCCCCGCGCGGCCACACTGTTCTCCTTCTCGTTCTCCTGCACGCCAGACAATTTGCCTACCGGTGTCCCCGAATAGCCCGACGCTGGTGCGGATAGCTTCCGGGTCGCCGCCAGCGGAAAGCAATTACACAGGTCGTGTGCGGCGATTTTCGATCCGCAGTTCGGTTGCTGTCTCCTTCAGGTCACGGCCCAGAGGGAGTGCCTATCGTGGATCCAGGATCCAAGAAACCCGCCCAGACCTCTATAAGTTTATGTTTATGCATGTGGTTGCTCCTCTATCGTTTGCCCACGACGTCATGACGTTTCGTCCTCCTGTGGAAAATCAGCATCAGGAGGAGGGAGAAGGCGCCTGAGGAGGATGAGGAGGACGGGGAGGAACGGGATGACGAGGGGGAAGCGGGGGAAGGTGGGGGAAGGCGGGGGGCTGAGGCTGTCTGTTTGGACAGCCGGCGCCGCAGCATGGTTTCGTGGTTTCACACGATGCGGGCTTGTGCTGGCAGAGCGCGGGGCGAGCTCTTTCTAGAGAGGCTCACGGACTGGCCCCGGGCGGCCAAAATGTGTTCCCACTGTGTTTGTTGCTTTGCCCTTGTCCGCCCAGGGAGAGGGGCGTGAAGATCAGAGGAGGAAAAGGTACCCATATTCCGTTTTCGCCTTTGAGGGCCTCCTGAGAGGCTCTCGTTGCCACGGCTGGTTTCGCTTCGAAATTCTGGCAGTACGCACCCTGGGAGAGGTCTGGGGAGTACCAGTATCGGCGATCGGTCCTTGTTGGTTTCCTGCAGGAGGGGGAGGGCGAGGACAGGACCGGCGGGTGACAGCCAGGATGGCAAGCGAGGAGGGCTGCGGTAAGAGGAGGATACGGACGGGACACAGGAAGAGGCTCACGGGACGCAGGAGGGGCCCCACGTCCTTATTGCCATTGTGCCTCCTCTCTCCTTCCTCTGCTTCTTCCCCCGCACCCCCCCTCTTCCCTCGAAGAAGAGAACAGGCCATAAACATGCCTTATCGGAGGTCCGTGCGGATTTCCCGGATCGGCCATGGGCCCCCCGGGACGCGCCTCTAGCGCCGCACTTGGCGCGCTCCGCCCAAAACTCCACGGGGGCCTCCGAAAGTTTGCGTTTACGCGTTTGTTTGCTCCTCTATTCCTCCCACGCATCTGGGCTGCAAGACGCCTCTACGGCGCTTCCTGATGTCATTTGTGGCCGGACCCAAATGAGCAGCCGTTGGGCAGCCCAGGCGGGAGGAGGGCGCAGAGAGTGCATTCTTGCGTTTTTTTATCCCCCTTATCCTCCCCACCCTGGGAGGAAGGAGAAGCGACACTAAGACCACCACCAGGGCAACCCTGGCGAGCAGGTTCACGATGCGCTCGTGAGCTGGAAATCGGAGATGTCTCGAGCGAGACGCCGAAAGGCAACGACACCGCACCGCCCCTATTACATCCCCTGCCCCGTAGCTGTGGTGTTGTTGTCTTTTCTTGCTTCTTTCCCCTGCCCCCACCCCCCTTTTCCCTCTATCCTGCGTGTCGTGATCAGCGCCAGGGGGATCGCTGCCCCCGGCCGACAGCCCCCCTGTGCGGGCAAGCTCCGCGCGCCGACGGCGCCGCACCCCCCAGCCTGGTGGCGCCGGCGCAGCGAGGCTGAGCCCGGCTGGGGCGGGGGGGGGGGCGGAGGCCACCCGGCGGCCCTCACGAACCGCAGAGCGCCCGTGGCCGCCACGGCTGTCGCGCTCGCCAGGGTCGCCTGCCGGCGCTGCGGGCCGCGCGGGCTCTGCTCAGCAGAGCCGGCTGCGGCCGTCCTCTGGATGGCGTTCTGCGCTGTGCGCCAGCGTGCCCACGAAGCGCGGCTCGCCTCCATCACCCTGGTAGCCGTGTTTATTGTTTCGCCGATGGGCGTGGGCCCCTGGCCCACCCTTCTCCCCCACATAGACCAGATCTTGGCTGCTGTTGGTGACTGCCTTTGGCGATTGGTCAGGACCCCTCTCCCCGAGTTGCTTGTGCGACTGGCAGAGGCAGATCGACTGAGCACCGGCCCAGACCCAGACTCCCTCCTCCCTCCCCCGCCCTTCGGCCAGATGTCGAAACCCAGAGTGAAAAAAACGCCGACCTGTCTCTGCGTGATATTCTCTCCCCATGCCTCGTTCGTCTCTTTGGCCGTGGGCCGGCCATACCCCTCCGCGCCACAATTGCGCGGTCGCGCAGGCAAGAAGTGCGATATGGTCTCTGCCAAGGAGATGATTACGAAGGAGGCAGCCGAGCCGATTGTTCGGCGCTCGGCTGTGGGGTGGCGTGGTGTTCTTTGTGCCTGTCAGAGCCGCGGCGCAAACCAGGTTGCAGTGTTCAGGGTTCTTATCTGGGCGCTAACACATGAGCGACGGCAGAAAGCGGACATTCGCGCGTATTTCGCCCGCGTAGTGTCGCTTCGGTGCCCTCGTTTCCACCGTAGCGTGACGCTCTGGCGGCCCGCGTAAGTCACCGTCTACCCGGCTGCACAACAAGCCCGCTATCGCGCTTGTGCAACAGCGCAGCAGGGAGGGGGCCGAGTGTAGGAACAGCGCAATTCCGACGAGGAGTCTGCATTGAGGTGGGTCGTGATCCCGACCTAGTCTTCTTCGTCCGCGCGGCAGGGAGGAGAAGGAGGATGATGATGATGAGGAGGAGGAGGAGGAGAAGGAAGGGGAGGAGGAGAAGGGCGAGATATCTATATATGTGTGTATGCATATATATATATATATATATATACATATATATATATATATATATATAGGGAGAGGGAGAGAGAAACAGAGAGAGAGACACAGAGAGAGAGAGAGAGAACAATCAAACAAGAGGATGATGAGGGGAAGGCTTCTTGGGGCCTTCTTGGGGATTCCTAGAGGCCTCCTGGGAGTTTTCTGAAAGCCTGTTGTGGACCTCGTCGGGCCACTTGTGCCGTCTTGGGGGGCTGTTGGCCCGTCTGACGCCTATAGGGGGCCGACTCGGGGGCGTCTTTAGGCCGCGTGGATCCCCTCTTGAAGCGCTACACGGCCGTCTTGGGGCTTTCGACTCTCCACTCACACCTCCACCTATCGACCTACAGCTTCCACCAGTTCACTCTGACCCTCAATGTCCAGCTTTCGACTCTCCACTACCACCTCCACCCATCGACCTACAGCCTCCACCAGTTCACTCTGACCCTCAACGTCCACTTTCCGACTCTCCACCCCCACCTCCACCTATTGACCTACAGCTCCCACCATTTCGCTCCGACCCTCAACTTGTCTAGCCTCCGACTCTCCACTCCCACCTCCACCTATCGACCTACAGCTTCCACCGGTGCACTCTGACCCTCAACGACCAGCTTTCGACTCTCCACTCCCACCTCCACCTATTGACCTCCAGCTCCCAGCAGCTCAACACGCTGACCTCCAGCCTTCAACAACCAGCTGTACAACGTCTCGCGCAGCCCGAACAAACGTCTTACCCAACAGTGGGGAAGGTGGAAGAGGAAGAGGAGGAGGAAGACGTGCCTACAGCGACGTTTCTGGCGACGTCCCAGCATGCATCTTGCGCCGGCGATGCACGACACCGGCATCCAGGTTTGAAGGTTCCGACTCCAGCTCTTCTGCCGGACTGACAGTGCGAGAAGAGCAAAGACAGCTTCAACAAGATCTCGGAAACCAATGCGCCGACTCCAGTCGTTTCCAGTTCACCGTCATCCACAAAAACGCGAGAAGCCTCTCCACAGACGACTCCATCGACACGTTGATTTGCGAATTGGAGACCATGGCATGGGACATCGTGGCAAGAAATGGAACTTGGAGGACGACAGAATGAGAGATGTGGATAACGAAGTTGGGTTCCCACGTATTTGCGGCAGCGGGCCACACCACCACATCAAGAGGCGTAGCATTTCTTATCCACCGACGGCACGTGCACAGCATCACATGCTTCACGCGCATCAGCGAGCGCATCGCCTACATCGACCTCGACACATCCGCCTGCAAGGTGAGAGTTGCGACGGCTTATTTCCCACACTGCGGGTACCCCGACGCTCACGTCCAGCAGATGTACGACGTCCTGAGCAGAAACGCACCACAATCATCACTGGAGACTTCAACGCACAGGTTGGCAAACATCCCATCAACGCGGACGAGGAAGACAATGCCAACAGAGGCTGGAGACTCACAGTTGGCCCGCACGGAACTGGAGCGTGCAACACACGTGGGACGTGGCTACGAGCATGGGCAACTTCACAGAATATGCTTATCACCAACACGTTGTTCTACAAGCGTGATCGCAACGTGTTCACTTATATCAGCAATGGGGAAAACCATACCCAAACACAGATTGACTACATACTCATCGACAAAGATCGTCGCAACCAGGTGCATGACTCGTTTGCAACAGCTATTCCAGACCTCGGGTCCGACCACCAAGCGGTATGTATGAGGCTTGTTTTCGACGCCGCGCCGGAGAAGAAGCGGAAGAAGCGGACAAAACGATCCAATCATCGGTCTACGCGCCCACCTGCTGCCGATCCACTGTACCAACACTACCTACAGCACAGACTCGACGCCCACGACGTCGCAGCCAACACTGACGACAGGAGCAATCACATCACCAAAGCCCTTGTGCAAGCTCACGGCGACTACCACGAGTACCACGACAGTTCACCGCGACACCAAGCACAAGAAGACGACGTCACATCAAACAGTGAGCTGCGCGACCTCATTGACCGATGGCGCAGCACACCGCATGCCGACACAACCACCAGGAGTACACAGAGCAAACTCATGTTGAAACCGCTTCGAACCATCAAGCGCGTCCGGGCAAACGCCAGGATTGAAACCATTGCGTGCCAGTTCAAAAACCTCAAGAGAATCGCGGGCACGAAAACGTCGAAGAAAAAACATGATCGCGTCAATGACAACCACAAACGGCGACGAAACAACTGGCAGACAGAGCATCGCAGACGTCTTCGCCACCTTTTTACGAGCAGCTCTATAAAACACCGCAGGACGACAGTGACATTTCTAGCAACACCGACACGGCAACAAAATCCAGCATACCACCATTCACACCAAAAGAGCTTCGACATGCAATCAAGCAACTGAAAAACGGCAAATGCAGCGACACTGCAGGACTCGCAGCCGAACTTCTCAAAGCGGGGGGAGCCGCCATTGAATCGCACATATTTCAGCTTTACAACGACATTCTCAAGCCAAACCACCCATCACCCACACAATGGAAGAGAACGACGAAAACGGTGATATACAAATCTGGGGACCACAAGCTACCGCAAAACTACAGACCGATCGCCATCATCCCACTGCTGTGCAAACTCATGTCCCGCCTCCTCTGAAATCGACGAGAAGCCACATTTGACGCACAACAGAGCCCTGACCAGGCTGGCTTCCGGCGAGGCTTCAGCACGGATGACCACCTCTTCACGACGGCAATGTTGCACGAGCAATCACATTGTTGGCAGTTACCGCTCTGGGCGGCAGCAATCGACTTCAAGAAGGCGTTCGACTGCGTGGACCATAAGCACCTATGGGGCGCTCTACGACAGCAACATATTCCCGAAGCGTACATCACCCTCATTCAGCACATGTACAATGATCAGACGGCCACTGTCCGCACTGACACCTCCAGTCGCAGTTTTAGCACACAGCGGGTGTGAAGCAGGGAGATCCGCTCAGTTCCTTCCTGTTCAATGCGCTGCTGGATCATATCTCCCGACAAATCAAGCCCGGCTGGCAGCGCAGAAAGTTTGGCATCCAGCTCGGCTTTGCTCAAGAAGCAAGCATCACGAACCTACGCTTCGCAGACGACGTTCTGCTGCGCGCCCGGAACCTTCGCCAACTAACATGCTTATTGCGCGACTTGGAGAACAAGGCATCCTGCTGTGGACTCTCACTTCACCCCGACAAGACCAAGATTCGCACCAACGTCAGCCGGAGGGCTGGCAGAACAATCGCGCACATCGTCTTAGATGGTGCACGCATAGACATTCTACCCAACGACCAGAGTACGAAATCTTTGGGCAAAAAGTTTCCGTTCCACAACTTCCACGGACATGAGCTGGAAAACAGGATCGCCGTGGGATGGTCGAAGTTTCACACACTACGGTGTGAACTTACCAACAGATGCTCCCATTGCACAGCAGGCTCCGACTCTTCAGCGGCGCGATCACACCATGCGTTATGCACGGTTACTCTTCGTGGGCACTCACCAAGGATATGCTCATCGCGCTACAGCGAACGCAACGGAAAATGCTCCGACTGATCATCAATGCGCCGAGAAGACGGAACACGTTGGAAGCAAGCAGACAGACAGCACGCGCCAGCTGCAACACCAACAACGGCACACGTATCGACGTCAACGACACCGAATCCAGCGCCGACACCAGGACCGACAACAGCACCGAACGGCGACGACGACGACGACACCAGCACCAGCACCAGCACCGACCACAGTACCAGCACCAACACCGAACACAGCACCAGCACCAGCACCAACACCAATCCAAAACAGCGCCAACACCGACAATAGCACCTGCACCGGCAACAGCACCAGCACTGACAGCACCGACAACAGCAACCGACGGAGACAACGACGATGGATCTGAGTCTTGGGTTCACTTCATACGGAGAAGTACCTCCACCGCTTTGGCGCCTTCCAAACGAGCACGAGTCGACGATAGGACCGACGTATACTTCAAGCGAAAATGGGCATTCGCAGCACGCGTGGCCAACCACGATCGCGACAGATGGACGCGACTGAGTGCAAGTTGGGACCCGTGCGCACACGACCTGCGCCCAGCCTTTCGCCGATATGGCGGGCCAAAGAAGCTTTGGCATGATGACATTGTATCTGGTCTACATGACGTGGTCGAGACCGACAACGATTCCAAATGGTGGGCGTTGGCCCAGAACCTACCATGGTAGAAGACTCGTGAAGAAGGCGGTAGAAGACTCGTGAAGAAGGCTTCTTGAACTACATGCGTCGCTTCCCCCACTCCGGCAACTACAACGAATGAGCCTTCTGGCGCTCCGGCGCCCCCGCCGGGCTCTCATAGGGCCGTCCTTCTGGGGCGTTTTCCGGCGCTCTGCTGCCCTGGTGGGGGCCACTTGGGCGATTTGTTGGTCTTCTTGGGTTGAGTTCGGGCCCTCTCGCGAGCCTCTGTGGCTGCATTGGAGCTATATTGGAGGCTTGTTGGAGGCTTCTTGCGCCCTCTTGAACGGTCGGAGACCCGAACAGGTGAGAATCTAGAATTGTT